GATAACATAAGCTATACCTTCTCCCATGGTGTTGGGTTGCCAGATAAAACACAGAATACCCAGTTAAATTTGAATGTCTGATAAGTTAGTAGGGTGTTTCAGAGATATTGGGAGTGCTGGATATTTGTTTTGTTTTGTTTTTCATTCTTTTAAAAAACATTATTGGGTATCAACCCAGAGCTTTGCACATGGTGGACTAATTAATACTCTATCATCTACATGCCCAGATCCCTTATGTGTTTATCTGCTAAAATTAACAACTCCACCATGAAGGTGTACACCACACATATGGCCTGGCCTCTGGGAACTGAGGCCTGCCTTCAGGCTCTAGAACCCCATATAAAGAGACCTGAGCATCTCAAGTCAAAACCAGTCTTGAATTTTTTGACCCACTTGAACTAAAGGATAATGATATGATTCCAAGAAACTTGTGGGTGGGACTGGGGAGAACATGATCCGCCGCCCCGTTAATGAGATTCCACAGTGAACAGGAAACCCTAGGGTACCTGCCTTTTCCAAGCTTACTTCTGGACAACAAGAGCCCACTGGGTAAACCATTGAGTGTTGAAATAGAGTAATGTGGAATGCAGCCTGGTTGACTTTAATTGTTTTAAAAGAATCTTGGCCCAGTCAAACCACATACCAACCTTTGAGTTTTCTGTACTCACCTCTCTTCTCCTTTACCTCAATTTCCCTTGGCCTCCTAGACCCTTCTCTCCCTAGGTCTTTCAGATACCAGACCTCAGAGATCTCCTCTCTTCTCTTTGGTCTCTAGAAAATTGTATTTTCTCCCATCCTCCCCTCTCCCACCATCTTTGAAAAAATCCAGGGAGGAACACTGGATTTCTTCTAGGAATGCAAACCCATATAAAACCCAATATTTAATGATGTCCATGGTAGCCATGAACATACTCCGTTATTGCTGCTTATGCACATACATGCATGTATGCATAAGTACCTATTTGCAAAGAGACACATGAGATTCCCTCTAGGCTTTGGTGCTCCTGTTCCCATTCCCAAGATCACACATGCACACGACCTGTCAAATGAATTCTGTGTGAGAGTGAGTTGTCCTAGCTATCTGCTCAGATGGACCTGAGGCTGAAACACATTAAGATGTGATGTATGGGGGTCAGGGATGAAGACAAGAGGAGGGATTACACACGGGAGGGGAGCCTGGCATATAGACAGGGAGCAGGATTTGGCTGGGAGGGGGAGGGTGTGAAGCTCTGCCTTGGGGTCTGGGAAGAGAGGGTGGGTGGGGCTGCGTTGCCTCATACTCCAGCACCTGTAACCAGAGTGCTTCTTTTACATACTTCTCTTCTAGCTCCAGTGTGGTCCACTCACCCCAGTTATTTATTGTGCCAAATGGCCCTTAATATGAATATTCCACGTTCATCTTACATTAGTTTCCTGTCACTATAACAAATATTTGGGGGGAAAAAATCACCTGTAAAGAAAAGCTTGTGTTTCAGCTCATAGTGGTAAAGGTTCTAGACCACGGCTGACTGGCTCCACTGTTTTGGTTTTGTGGCAAGGCATCACGGTGGAAGCATATGCCAGAGCAAAGCCATTCAACTCATGGCCCAATCCCTTTCATGGGCATGCCTCCAATGACCCCTCCCCCTAGGGGAGGTCTTGTAAAGTTTCTAGTGCCATCCACTAGTGCCAAGCTGGTGACAAGACTGTATTGAATGAACCTTTGAGGCTCCGAACTCCAGCAGGACCTGCGGTATATGTATCTCTTCCCTAACAGAAGTAGGACTGTCTGGGGCCTCTTACAGAGAGCGGTCAGGGCAGAAATGAGCAGTTGCATAGGGAGCAAGGTAGCCTATCTTGCACTTTTGACATAGATAGCAAAGGCCACAAGTCCTCAGCCTGCAGTCCAGGTTTGGAGATATGTGATGGGAAATGGAAGTAAGGGTGGTGGATGAGTAGGGCCAAGCTACAATACGTGGAGAAGTCTGACAGGCGAGACCAAATGCAATCCATTTGATTCAAAGCTAAGGTTAAATACAGGAAGTGGTTCTGCTTCTTCTGGAAATCTGTCTTTGGGAGAGACTGACTTATCACTAAATAATAGAGAGACTTGCAGCCTGGTCAAGGGCCCTTCCCAGAGTGCTAGAATTTCAGAACTTTATTATCATTGAGCAGCTCCAGGTTCATATTATAATAAAGTGAGAAATGGAACATGGTCTCAGGACAGAGGGAAGAGGGAAACCCAGGTAGGGAATCTTATTTTTTTTTTTTTGTAATATTTTTTATTAGTTCAATTTAGGAACAAGCATGTTTCACATGTCAATCCCTTCTCCATCTCCCTTCCCTCTCCCTGCCCCTACCCCTTACTCCCGACCCTACCCCCCTACTCCCAATCTACCCCCCCATCCAACCTCTACTCCCCAGGCAGGGCAGGGCCCTCAGCAGGGACTCCCCAAAGTCCACCACATCATCCTGGGCCAGGCCTAGGCCCTCCCCGATGTGTCCAGGCCGAGAGCGTATCCCTTCACGTGGGATGGGCTCTCAATTCTTATTTTTTAGGGTCTTTTAGAAAAAGGCTTTGAAGATAGAGACTGGCATACATATTAGCGTCTTCTCATTTCTCTCCAGCGTTCTTACACAAAGCCATGTTTTTCAGTAATCTTAAATGGTGGGTAGACACCACCCAACCTTGGTGTATATGCTCTGAAGATTACCATCTACTGAGCGTCTAAGAGTAGGTCAAGCCTGGGTGATGGTGGTGGCAGCTTCCCTCTGAGGTGGGGCCCTCCATAACTGGGCCCTCCATAAATGACCCTTGGTCACAGGGCTGACTTTCTAGGTCTGTCCAGTCAACTCTCAGTAGCCAGGAGGGGTACATAGCTCCAGGTCCTGTGGTCATCCGTTCATCCCCACATTTTTTTCTGCTTGACATGGAGGAATTGAACTGCCCCTATAGGTTTCTTTTCTTTCATCATCTTTTTTTTTTTTTTATTGAGCTATACATTTTGCCTGACTCCCCTTTCCTCCGCTCATCTCCCCTTCCACCCTCCCTCCTGCCCTCCTCATTCCCAATTTACTCGGGAGGGCTTGTCTTTTTTTTTCCCCCTTCTGAGGCAGATCCATTTATATCTCTCTTAGGGTACTCTTTGTTACCTAGGTTCTCCAGGGTTGTGACCTGTGGGTTTCTTTCTTTTTCTTTTTCTTTTTTTCTTTTTTTTGTGATTTTTTATTAGTTCAAATTAGGAGCAAGTTTGTTTCAAATGTCAATCCCTTCTCCCTCTCTCTCCCCTCCCCTCCACCCCTCCCTCCACCTGTGGGTTTCTTATATATTCTCAGGGCACTACACACCATGTAAGATGACCCTTACCCTCTTTAACGTCTGCCTGAGGTAGGAACACAGTTTGAGGTCTGGAGCCTGAGAAAGGCTCCAAGGAAGTAGTACTATCGGAGGCCTGTGACACAGGGAGAGGGTCCTTCAGCAGGGAGGGGCTAAGGAAACCATGGAGTGTGAAAGGTAGGGTATCTGAGCTGGGCCACCCTTTCCAGCTGTGGGCATTAAGTCAGGTTTGGGCTGTGGCTTCCTTGTTTGTGTAACAAGGAGGCAGCAGGTGTGTAGTCATCTTCCAGGAGCAGTGAACATAGGCATAGCTAACTGGACACATAGAAGGGGCTGCCATTCTTAGCTGTGTGCAGTCAGCGGTAGCTGAGATCGGGAAGACATCTCACATGTTCATTTATACCCTTGTTCCCCCACGTACGTCGGTACAGTTTTCAAGCATATCTACAGTCGAGATAGAATTATATTTGAACAAAGTGAAGCAAAAGGAAATTAAATATTTGATGAAGCCAGGGTGTGATTAACACTGGAAACACATGTCATATGTCTGTGTCCTTAGATCTGCACTTCCTGGCGACAACACAAGAGGGAAGCAGGTCCCAAATCATGAGTTTTAGTATCCAGCAGATTAAAATGAGCCAGTCACTAAGAGGAATCCGGGCCACTCTGGCAGCCATGTAACTGTGCATCTCACCCAGGTGGTGGAGATGGTAGAGACTGGTACTCGGCGACATTCCATATGTTTCTTGGTTCACCTGCTGAGGGCTCACCTCAACTGCTATAGGGAGTGATGTACCTGAAAATTCACTTCTCGTTTGAACCTCAGGCACACTGGGCCATTGATTTCTGTTCTCACCCTCTCTGGAAGTCAAGACTCTCACCTTTCGGAAACAAGTGCTGTGCTCCTTGGTGGGGGCAAAGGGGTTGGAGCCTCTTTCATGAGGCTGAGTGAGTGGGGAACTGTTTAGCTGCTTCTGCCTTAAATTGCCCAACTGCAGAGCACACAGAGAAGCATCCTTGTGCTGGCCTTGTGCATGGTGCAGGCCCACAAACAGGACCTGTATTCTGAGAAGGTAGCTTTGCAGGCCGTGGCCCTGCTGGCCTGCTGCCTGCTGCCTGCTGCCCCTGTGAGCTTTTCTCTCCCCTTGCCTCTGTAGCCCATGTCCAATTCGTGCACACTCTGGCTTACAAGTCTTTCTGGCTTTCTGATGCTCTTGTGGTGCCCTGAGGTTTTCTGTTTCTGCTGCTCCTACCCCTGTCTCTGCCTTCTCTAATTCAGACTCCCAATAGAAAGACCTGATCTGACCCATGCATTCTTTTCGTGCTGAGCCACACAGGACCCCTTTAGCCAATGGATGGGTGTCTGTGGAACAAGCGTCATTCTGATGTCAGTTTGAGGTCATGAGGTCACAGGGCATGTCTGGTACACCCTTCCCCAAGGCAGAACCGAGAGGGCAGTGTCCCTTAGCAGATGTCCCCAAGCATGGGTTCTGAACTTGTCTAGCACTTAGGACACAGGGCTTCACTGGATTTTGGTCCTTCTCTAATCTGCGCTCACGTTGGGCATTTACAGGCTAGATGCGGATTTCCAATTCCCACCTGGGCTTGTGCATCCACTAATTCATGAAATGGGATTGTGAAAATGGACGCTACTGAGGGCTTCTGCTCAGCCTTCACTCTGTAAATGATGGGTGACAATAGACCCTCGGACCACCTCAGACCCATGGAATTTCTCAACATTCACCTGGAAGACAATCTACAGCCCCGCCCAGGGACACATCCAAATAAAATACATGGCCATCCAGGCCCTTCTGAGCCTAGCCAGGAACACTCCTGGCCCTTTGACCCCCCGGAATCCACCAGGACTGATGCTCATCATGGTAGTTCTGGTGTGGAGACCACTCGCCTGGGAAGCTGCCCTTTTGAGGGGGAGGCCAGACAGACTCCAGCATCACTGTGCTCAGGGGGGGACAACCGCTCTTTGGGGAGTCCACAGCAGCAGAACCCGAGCTCATCCACACAGGTGGTATTCTGGGCTGGCATCCTGCAGGCCCAGATGTGTGTCCTGGACCTGGAGGAGGAGCTGGAGAAAACCGAGGGACTCAAGGCAGAACTGAGGTGCTGCATCCCCCCACCCACCAAGGATTTCCTTAGTGATGTGGGCCTGAGCCCCAGCCTGCACAAGGAGGATGAAGACCCTGGAGATGACAGCAGTGAGCCTGAAGAGGAAAACCAGGCCTGGCCAAGGGAGCAAATGCCAGGTTCCTCCCCCGAATGGGGTGCTGAGGAGGACAGCATCTTCTTTGACAATCCCCTCTTCCTGGAGAGCCCTGTCTCAGACACCAGTACTGAAGGAGAATGCTTTTCCTGGGGTTATCCAGATTCCCACCCAGATATGAAGCCTCATAGCCCTCAAGCCCTGCATTCTTCACTCCAAGAAGACACAGGGCTCTCGGGGCCAGGAAGTGAGCTGGACTTGGGGAGCAGCACTGCTGATCACAGTGGGTGTGCCACCCCGCCATTCCCTGTGCCTTCCTATAAGCTGCACCCCTGCTTGGCCTTAGAGTCCATTGAAGGGGTTCCCATAGTACCGCCTGATCAGGAGGGTGAGGTAAGCTATCTGAGGAAGCCAGCTGAGGGCTGGACTGAGGACATGGCAGGGTTAGTGGGGGCTTCCTCAGGGGCACAGGCCCAGGACATTGTTCAGAAGGTAGAGTTTTGGGGGATCTAAGGTTAGAGAACACCAAACTGACTGGTGTGTATACAGTTGGGGAGATGACTGGTGGTAAAGTCCTTGCTGTGCCAGCTCGGGGACCTGAGAACCCATGTAAAAGCTGGGTGTGGCAATGGACACCTGTAACCAAACACAGAAGGGAGGAGTATGGAGACAGGGGGTTCCAGGATCCCAACAGCCAGCTGGTCTAGCCAAAACGGCAAGCCCCAGGCTTAGTAAGAGATACTCCGTCTGAAGAAATAAGGTGAAGAGCAACAGAAGACACACTAACATCAACTTCTGTCTTCTACATGTTGGATACATTGACCTGAAAGCACCACGCTCACACACACAGAGGGACAGAGACATGGACATAGACAGACACACACAGATGTGCCTCTGTACAACACACACAGACGCACACATAGACACAGATGCACCCACACACATCCTCTCACACACAGATTAACTTGTCTCTTAGACTTCAGAAAAAGAGAAATTTTATCAGTACAATAATATCATTTGGAACACAGATGCAATTAAGTCCAGGAGTCTCCATGTCACCAACTTCAAAGAGCTAAGACTAGATGACTGGCTTAGTGAACAGGCAGCCCCTCCCTTCATGGTGTTCCTAGACATTCTGAGATCCTCCCCTCTACCTTCCAGGCATCGCTAGCTGTCACCAAGCAGCCTAAGATGACCTTTGTCCCCAAACAGACAGCTGTCTATTTTAGGAGACTTGTCCTCTCTTTTGAGAGGTTTCAGCATCTTGTAACTTTTAGCTCAGGACCCTTCATTTTCCTGTTGTGCAGGGTCAGTAGACCTGTCCCTTATGACAATTGCATAGGAGCCTTGATATCAATCAGGGTTTGTCAGAAACTATGTGAGACCAGCAGGGGACAGTTTTCCCAGAATTCTCTGCTTTAGAGATAAGGAGAACTCAAAATGGCAGAGAAGGCTGTGACCTTCTAATCTCTCAAAGAACAATGGGGATCAGAGGACTGCAGTCCTTTAGAGATGCCTTGTCCCAGGACTGCCCTCCAAGGCTCTAAGTCGTTAGAGGGAAGCCTGGGAACCCCGCCCAGGAGCAGGTGGGGGCCATCTGGACAATCTGTGAGGAGGGAAGGTCTTACAGGGAGTGGGGAAGGGCCTGGAATGATTTCATGGGCAAATCAAGGGTCCCCTCTTTCAGACTTCTCCGGAAGATGATCATAGCTCTGGCTCACCTAAGGCGCCCTCTGTGGATCATGAATTCATCCAGGAATCAGATAACTTTGGATTTGACCTTAGTCCTGCCACCACACATCCTGTGCAGCCTTGGGCAAGTTTCTTTCTGTGTGCCTTACCTTCCCACCTGTGAAGAATTCTGACCTCACTGGTTTCCAGAGCCCCTGTGGTGTGGTGCCTCTCCCATCCAGTTCCTCTTCTGAACTGAGAACCCAGACTTGTTGTCCATGGGTTCTGGGAAGGGAAGGTCTTCCATGTGGTCTTGACATCATTCATTTTAACTCTTTCCATTCATTCTCTCTATTTATTTCTCTTGCCTCCAGGGCTCACAGACACCCCAGAGCCTCTTGGATCTGGCTCCACCTACACTTGAGGTCCATTCATTCTCTCTATTTATTTCTCTTGCCTCCAGGGCTCACAGACACCACAGAGCCTCTTGGATCTGGCTCCACCCAGATCCAAGGATCTGCAGACAGAAGATCCTTCCCGGCCCCAGGAGCCTCTTACCTCCCAGAATGGAGGTGAGATCCAGTGTGGGGACCTGGGAAACTGAGTGGTGTGAGGCTTTGGGATTCAGTGGGAACAGAAGTTCTTGTTGGATTCATTGTTCTGTGTTGGATTGAGATCCAGTGTGGGGACCTGGGAAACTGAGTGGTGTGAGGCTTTGGGAGTCAGTGGGGACAGAAGTTTTTGTTGGATTCATTGTACTGTGTTGGAGCCAGACATGCTTAGGATTAATTCTTCTGTGCCTTCATAGATAAAATGAGCTTTCCAATGCTTATAGAATAAAGAGCTATACACAAGACACAGCATATTTCATGTCTGGGTCTTAGTGGCTCAGCAAAAGTCTTGAACCCTGCGCTGTATGGGGACGGGAGTCCTGGAAGCTGCCACCAGATAGATAGGGAGAGATCACTGTCTACAGCAGAATGGGACATCCTGCCCTGTTCCAGGGAGGTGCCCAAGAGGAGGGCTGGGGGACGGGAGTCCTGGAAGCTGCCACCAGATAGATAGGGAGAGATCACTGCAGCAGAATGGGACATCCAGCCCTGTTCCAGGGAGGTGCCCAAGAGGAGGGCTGAAGGCAGCAGCCAGCTGCTTTCCTGTCTCCAGCCCTGAGTGTGCTCATTCCCGCCATTCCTCAGGTGAGAAGGATGCTGGCTGCTTCCAGGAGCCTGTGCCCTGCACCTTGGCCCCCTGCGGGAGCCAAACCTCTTCACTGGAGCCCAGCAGGCCCAGCCCAGTGTCTTCGCAGAAAGGCAGTCCACAAATCGAGCTCCACAGCCCCAAGTGGCCACAAGATGCTTCATACCCTTTGCTCCCGGAGAAGGATGAATCAAAGTTAAGTTCCCTGAAGATAGAGGAGACAGAGGAAGCCCCAAACCTAAGGCAGGAGGCAGAATGTGAAGATCCAGCCAGGACTGAGGGAGATTCAGCTGCCAGATACCATGTTCGCTTGACTTCTGCTGAAGGGTGAGTCTCAGGCCAGCTGGCTACGGGGTTCTTAATTGTCTTGTGCTAAGAATACCCTGGTTTGAGTGGAGCATGAGAAGTGCACATTGGATTTCATGTGCTAATGCTTACTTCAGTCTCCATGACCACATTGCATGGATTATATAGGACGACATGAGTACACTTTCAGAGGCCTGGAATTTTCCAAAGCACCTTGAACAGGCTGTTACAAAGACTCAAACATACAGAAGCAGAATCTTTAGTGTCCCCACCTAGACACCAGGAAAGGAAGAAGTCTGGGGGACCTGACTGCAGCCCTGAAGGCTTGGAGGTTTGTAGGTATGAGCGAGCGAGTAGGGATTACAGATTGCTTTTGAACTTGATGTTCAATGAGAGAAATCACTAATGTATCTAGGCCCAGGTGCTGCCTGGGATTTACACATGGGGAGACTTGACTGGGACTGGGATACTATAGCAGGAATTGTGCCACCTCAGAACTGTGGCCATAGGTAGGAACGGGTCCACAAGGAAGCCTGCTGAGGTGACTGCCTGCCTCAGTATACTGCCTCAAGGCTTTCTGAGTCTACATGGGGAAAGGGTTTTTCTTCTGGGTGGCTAAATAGGGGTCATGTTAAAGAAACTTACAGAAGCCAGCTGGGGATAAGACCATGAACCTAATAGTGTGGCAACCACAGGGTGAACCCTGCTCCCATTCAGCAATAGAATGTCAGTTGGTGTCACAATCAAAGCAACCATCTTTTTCATGAGTCTGGAAGCCTTGTTGGCCTGGAGCCTCTTGGATGCTGGGTAACCACGGAAGGCTTGGAATCTGAAAAGGGGATGCTCATTGTCCGAAGATGAAAGCAAATCCAACCCCAGCCCAAAGCAAGTCAGTTCATCTAAAATGACAACCTTTCAGAGAAAATGAAAGAAAAACTGTTATAACTTGGATTTTACCTGGGTAAATAACACCAGATCCCATATAAATAAGTGCTACATTTAACGGTATGTAGAGATTTTGATTTCCTTGGCCTCACTCATTTATACTTGACTTTCATAGCATGAAGACATTTTAAAAATACAGCTTTATGGGGCTATACCTCATAGATCATATGATCCAGTGGTTTAACATATATAATTCCACATTATATAGTATTTTCCCCCCAATATGCCTTCCTATCTAGACATAGTTTTAACAACAATACTATTGACCATTTGTTAGACCATATTTAAGGCTTCCTCAACTGGGTTACTATATGATGCTCTTTAGAAGATGTGACGATTGCCCAGCTATTTTTATATTTTCTCATCTTCAGCCGCTCAGCAGACTGGCCCTTCCCCACCACCAGTGGTTTTCCTTGTGATTTCTACAGAATTCCAGCACTACTTCCATGGACTTCCTGAAATCCCAGTGTTTTGAAATTTCACTTTTCAGTGACTCTTAGTTGTATTTATGCTCTGTATGTATTTACGTTGTATTTATTACTGAGGGATGGGATGTTTAGGAAGCAAGGAGTTACCAGCAGAGCCCCCACCCACTGACCCACTCATTGGTGTGAAGGAGGCTGTTGAATGAATTCCAATGATCAGCCATTTCCCAGTGACTGTTTCAAGTTAGCCTATCTGTTCTACTCCCTAGTTGGAGACTTAGATCATGAATATGTAAATTTCTACAATACCTGACATCTGGTTGTAAGGTTTCAGGGAAACAGGTAGGACTGGGATTGAGAATCCTAGTTTTAGGTGTTCTCTGTGGTGTGGCTTGCCTGGGTCTGTTTATGCCTATCATGTAGGTCATATGGTAAGAGCTGTCAGGCAGGAGAAGGGATACATCAGAAACCTCCTCTTACTCCTCCAGTTTTTGCCATTCCTAAAGCTAGACTGATTCCCTGTTCTCAACCTGACCCTCACACCTTACATCCTCTATGGCTCCAGAACTAAGAGTTGGGTGTGGGACTGAGGCTGGGGCATAGAGGCATGAGGATGGCTGCAGAGAGGGAAATAAGCCTACCTGTCTAAGGTAGGGCTACTACTGCTGCAATGAAACACCATAACCAAAGAAACTTGGGGAGGAAAGCATTTATTCAGCTTACACTTCTACAGCACTGTTCATCATGAAGGAAGTCAGGACAGGAACAGGGCAGAATTCTAGAGGCAGGGGCTGATACAGAAGCCATGGAGGGATGCTGCTTACTGGCTTGCTTCCATGGCTTTGCTCAGCCTGCTTTCTTATAGAACCTAGGACCACCAGTCCAGGGATGGCATCACCCATCATGGGCTGGGCCCTCCCTTATCAATCACTAATTAAGAAAATGCCTTATAACTGCATCTTACCGAGGCATTTTCTCAATTGAGGTTCCCTCCTTTCCAATGATTCTAGCTTGTGTCAAGTTGACATAAACTAGCCAGGACACTACCTCATCATGTGTGGACAACCCACCACTGAGGTCCTCAAAGGGCTCCACCTGCCACTCAAGATGGGATAAGCTTGAAACATCTTTGTGGCTTAATCTGGGGAAACATGGTACCAGGTTGGCTCCATGGGTCTTGTTTCAATACCTCTTCTATGAGATCTCCTGGTCCCAGCACAGCCCGACTTCGACCCCGTCTCTCCATGCTGAGGGCTTGGGTTCAGCTTTTCCAGACCCCACCATTCAAGGCCTAAGAGCTGTAGTTCTAACGCTGTGCTCTGGCCACTTCTTCCCATGGCCTTGGAGGACACTTGACATGCATGTGCACACAAGTATGAGTCTGAGGACACCAATGAATTTTTCTAGGCTTCCTGGGAGCCCCAAGGCCCAAGCTCAATTTCCAGAGGAAGGCTGGAGGCCATCATCTAGAGACAAGTTGGCTAATAACAACAGAAATGACAAGGGGGCCTGGGACCTAGCCTTGCGTCTCTATCACCTGGATGGTTTCCGGAAGTCTGAAGTGGCCTCCCACCTACGCAAGAAGTAAGGAGCTTTTGAGACACAAGGGTAAGGCAGTACAGGAGAGAACTCCCCATAGGCTCCTTCCCATGCCATCCCCACCCCCACTCTTGGCCAGCTCTGCTTCTTCTCAGCCTCACTTGCAATTCCTGACTTCTCCCTTTGCCTGTCCCCGATTCCACATGGCCTATCACAGGTGACATTGACCAAAGTAGCAGGAGCAGGCTCCCTTGGGACCTGGCACCTAGCATGGTTATATTTTCTTTTATTTGGCTCTTGCCGCCCTGGGTTCTTTCTGTGCCTACAGCTCAGCCTGATCCCCAGAATCAACTTTATCTCCATTGCCCTCTACAGCAATGACTTCAGCAGGGCTGTGGCTGAGGCATACTTGTCCTTCTTCCATTTCGAAGGCCAGAGCCTGGACCGAGCCCTCCGGTAAGGCCTTCTGGCCCTCAGAGGAAGCAGGAGTTGGGTGTGTGGGGTGGTTGGGGACAGCTGCAGGGCAGTGGTCCCAAGCTCCCGGGGATGTGGCTCTGCTTAATCCTGACTTTTTTGGGCAGGGGGTTTCTCCAGGCCCTGGTGCTCAGTGGAGAGACTCAGGAACGGGAACGAATTCTCTACCAGTTTTCCAAACGCTTCCATTACTGCAATCCTGGGGCCTTCCCCTCAGTAGGTATGGAGGGTGGGCCCAGGGGTGGGGCAGAAGGACTTTGGGGTGGCATAAAAATAACCCTATTTACTTGGGGTTCATTGGTCAGCAGCTGCTGGAGTGTGTTGGGGCTATAGAGAAATGGGAGGAGTCACCCTTAGTGTGGGCAGAAACCACAAAAGTCAGATTCCAATGAACCTTGTGCTTGGCCTCTCTTGGGGACAGATTCTATACACACTTTGACTTGTGCCATCATGCTTCTTAACACAGACCTGCATGGACAGGTAAGGAGGGGAGAGCATCTAGAGAGCTGATGTGGGGGTCTGTGGCATGGTGAGGAGGGGAAGAATGGACCAAAGGCTGGGAATATGGCAGGGCAGGGCCTTGGAGTTCCCCAGTGACCACCTAGGGGTATATTCCATCAGGGTGGGATGTTCAAACTGTCTCGCTTCTCCATGGCCACAGAACATTGGAAAGAGCATGAGCTGCCAGGAATTCATAACCAACCTGAATGGGCTGCAGGATGGCAGGAACTTCCCCAAGGAGCTGCTGAAGGTAAGGCGCCTTCCAAAGCCAGGACCCTCCCTGCTTCTTGGTCTGCAGCCTGGAACTCTAGTTCCAAGAGGAAAGTAGAGCTCAGACATGGCTTGGAGGAGAGGTCCTTATGAGGACAAGGGTTGCCTGTGTGTCCCTGTCTGGGAGTGCTGGTGATGTCTTGGGATTTGACAGCTGTGCAAATTGACATCCCTGGACGTACAGAATCATACTTTATGCATCTGAAAATGTTCTGTTACCTTCTCAGGGGATTGTTACCCCTTTGAAGTCTGCAAGTGCAGGAGTACTGAACGAATTTATGAGACACAAAGTTCCACGTAAGGCAAATCCTGGTCTCAGGTTTGGGAGCTGGGTGATCTTAGTTTGAATTATGTCTTGAGTTCTGCCCCTTGGTCAACTCAAGCTGCTTCTGGGAGAAATGATCATCTCACAATGTTATTACCAAGATCAAAGCTGTCAAGTGTCATGCACTATGCCTGGCTCACACACACTTCATACACAATTGGACCGCTGGCTTTTTCATCTACTTAGTGGTCATTTATTGAACATTTTCTGTGTACTAAGTACCTTGCCAGGAACATCAAGGACTGTAAAAGCAAGCCTATGAATTACTTCCAAGTTCTAACCCAGCATCATTCATTCATCTACCAATTATGCATTGTGTGAGTGTTGTTCAGTCAAGTTCCTTCTCTATCAGATACCCCTGGACAGGATAGTGTGTGAGTGAGTCATATTCTCTCTCAAAAGACTAGTTTAGAATTTACTAAGTGCAGGGCAGAGCCTTGGCTACTTTGATATCTTTATGTCTCCAGTATCCAGCACAGGAATGGAAGGGTGGACAGATGGATAAATGGGTCATGAATGCTTGCCTGCTCAGGAGAAGGGCAACTATGATGGGAGTAGAGGGACAAGGTGTTACCTATACCCATAGATGTCTGCCAACAAAATGAACGTAGGTACCACAGACCCTCCATTCATCTGTATGCTTCTATTCCAGGCCCTCTACTGGTCCATCCGAAGTGAGAAACTTGAGTGGGCTGTGTAAGTGAGCACTCCTCTTTCCCTGGGCTTCTTGCGCTGCATCCCTGCCTCTGAGCCTGTCTCCCCACTGTTGCCCACCTGAGAACTGGAGAAGTTCGGGGGCCTACACAGTTCTCCTGAGTGGGGTAATGCCAGAGGCAGAAGACTAGGCCAGGTGGGGTACAGAGGAACTTGGGAAATACTGGAGAAGCCAGAGCTGGTGAAGGTACAGCAGTGTTTCCAGGGGTTTCCAGCTTTTAATGAGATTTTCTTCGTCTTCTTCGTCTTCTTCATCGTCTTCATCGAGGGGTTTCCAGCTTTTAATGAGATTTTCTTCGTCTTCTTCGTCTTCTTCGTCTTCTTCGTCTTCTTCATCGTCTTCATCGTCTTCATCGTCTTCTTCTTCTTCTTCTTCTCCTTCTTCTCCTTCTTCTTCTTCTTCTTCTTCTTCTTCTTCTTCTTCTTCTTCTTCTTCTTCTTCTTCTTCTTCTTCGTCTTCTTCTTCTTCGTCTTCTTCTGTTTTTTGTTTTTCGAGACAGGGTTTCTCTGTGTAGCTTTGGAGCCTATCCTGGCACTCGCTCTAGAGAGCAGGCTGGCCTCGAACTCACAGAGATCTGCCTGCCTCTGCCTCCTGAGTGCTGGGCTTAAAGACGTGCACCACCAACACCCAGCTGAGATTTTCTTTGAGGGGGTTCCTATTATATTCCTCCCCAGTAAGAGAAGGTGTTGAGTCCCCAAGAGGCAGAGGGTACTTGTCCCACCAGCATTCCCATCCTGGTTCTCTGCCATCCAGAGATGAAGAGGATGCAGCCAGACCTGAGAAGGACCAGCCCTCTCCTTCAGCTGGCAAGATAAGCAGCCCCTTCCTCCAGATGGCTCAGGACCCCACAGTGCCCACCTATAAGCAGGGCATCCTGGCTCGGAAGATGCATCACGATGCTGATGGCAAGAAGAGTGAGTGTCTGGTGCCTGGGAACAAAGGTGTATGTAGGGAGAGCTCCACTTAGGGACCGGGCCCTGTGTTGTGGTACAGAGATGAACAAGCAACTTGTGTTTCTTTCCTGAATGTGAACTAAATGCTAAGATAAAACGAATCCCATGGTAAGGCAAAGGCTAGACAAGCACATTAGTGTCTCCGGGGTCTCTGGTGATGGTGAAAGGAGGGCTGTGTAGAGTATGGAGGCAGAGGAGGGAGAGGTATTTAGGGTTGGAGAACTAGCTACAGGGACAGGCATAGGGAGGTTCTGGCAAATGATGGCATCTGAATGGAACCTTGTCTGAATTTTTGCATTGTCTGAGCACATCCATTCCAGAGCAAAGAGTACTGCAGAATCCACTCAGAAAAGGATATATTGCAAGGATAAAATCTGTCCTAATCGACATTTGGGACTCACTCCCAGGGCAGTTGAAAGCTCTTGGCCAAGGAAGCTGCCTGACCAGAGCAGAGATCGCTGCAATAGAACCACGGGTTAAACACTATGTGGTGGCCAACACTGTCCTGAGTGGGACTCGACGGATAACCATAGGAAATCAGGCCTCCCTCTGGCCAAGTAGCTTAGAACAGGTTTTGCTCTACAAGGCCAGGATGAGGAAATTAGGAAGAGAGAGAAAGGGGATTGGTGCTCCCCAAGTAGGCAAACACATCACACTCGGTAGGGAGGGGGCTGAGTAGAATTGTTTGTTCCTAAGGATGTGCAACTAGGGAGAGCTGGTCTTCATGAACACCCATTTACATGTCAGCAGTTCTCTGCTTTGGTCTCTGCGTGTGGAGCCTTTCAATGTCGATTTTGATTGTGCGTGTTTTCTTGTGTTAGTGTGCACTATGTGTTCCTGTGCCGCCTCGTGAGGGACGGGAGGTGGTGTCAGAGGTGTACGCCAGGACTCTGTGCATACTTGTATTGAGTATATCTGGATATAGTGCCACCACCCACCTTTGTGTCTCCCTTTGGGACAGCGCCATGGGGCAAGCGAGGCTGGAAGATGTTTCACACCTTACTGAGAGGGATGGTTCTCTACTTTCTGAAGGTAGGAAGGGAGTCAGCGGCATGGATGATTGACTTCCCAGGGCTGGGGTGAAGAAGGCAGGGAAGGAGGACAGAAAAGTACTTTGCAGACTGGGGATGGTTGCTTAGGACACCAGTTACAGGGGCTTGAGGAGTGTGTAAAGTCGATGGGGGCCACATCATTCTGGATACATGTCGATGGTTCCAGTGCTATTTAGAACCCAGCCAATGGGGTCATGGAGAGGTCCAGAACTTCGGGGTGGATGGACAGCTGATAACCTCTGCCTGAGCCCCTGTGTCTGTGGCAGGGAGAGGACCCCTGGCTGGATGGGCAGAGTCTGGTGGGAAATCTGGTGGATGAGCCCGTGGGAGTGCACCACTCGCTAGCCAGCCCAGCCACCCACTATACCAAGAGGCCATACGTCTTCCAGCTTCGGACTGCAGACTGGCGTCTCTACCTCTTCCAGGCTCCGTGAGTCCCTCGAGTGGGAGGGAAGTGGGCCGACTTCAGTGTCCCTGACACTCAATGTTTGTTTGTCCCCACCCTGACGGGAGCTACTATCTTAACCAGTAAACCTTAAAGTTATGGGCTGGGGGAAGGTGCTAGGAATGCAGACAGAATGTGTGAGCACAGCCGACTCCTCTTGGCACTACCCTCTTCCTTGTATGTTAACAGAAGATTTTAGAATGCCATCAGCGACTGTTTTTGACATTAGATTTAAACTTGGTTGCCATCCTAGATTTTCCTCTGGAGGATAAAATGCGACTGTTTTTGACATTAGATTTAAACTTGGTTGCCATCCTAGATTTTCTCTAGGATAAAATTCAGTCACCCCCTCATCCTCACCCTCACTGAAGTTGGGCTTCTGGTTTGGGGAGGCAACAGAAGTGTGAGGCGAGGGGAGGGCAGATGATGGGACGGGGAACCCTTGGGGACACATGACTTCTTCCTTTGCCTACAGCACAGCCAAAGAAATGGCTTCCTGGATTGCACGCATCAACCTGGCGGCCGCCACACACTCAGCACCCCCCTTTCCAGCAGCAGTGGGCTCCCAGCGTAGATTCGTGAGGCCCATCCTGCCCATGAGCCCGGCCCAGAGTTCCCTGGTACTGCCTCACCTAACCAGCTAGAGGTGCAGGGAAGGCAGAAGTGGGTGTGAGCCCTCTAAGCAGTCACCCACCAGCATGAGGAGGCGGTGATCCGAGCATAGCTCTAGGCATGGGACATATCGGGGATAAGGCGAGAGAGGCAGGGAACAGCGAGGGGGCAGAAGATGGGTCAGCTTCTCCTTCATCTTCCTCTCCCAGGAGGAGCAGCATCGATCGCACGAGAACTGCCTGGATGCTGCCTCCGATGACCTGTTGGATTTGCAGAGGAACCTGCCCGAACGACGGGGCCGCAGCCGCGAGCTGGAGGAGTACCGCTTGCGGAAAGAGTATCTGGAGCACGAGGTGAGCAGCTTGGTGTCGCCCGGCTACCTGTTGGCCGGGTCCTCTGCCGCCCTCTCCTGGCTGCCTCTGTCTCAGAACCAGGAAGACTGGTTAAGGGGCACAGCAGCGCTCAGGGGCCGATGTGAAGTGGGGTCTGTGAGCACTAAGGACCCAAGAACACTTATAGGCTACTTTATCCTCTAAGGACTATATTTAGCTTTTCCTAACATGAATTATCCCTCCTATCACTTACCTAACGCTTTGATTGCCTGCATGGGTTTGGGTTATTTCAATTAACAGTTCTGGGATAGGTAACAATAGTATAATATATAGTCTACAATCCTCATTTTATAGAGGAGGAAACTTAGCTGATTTGTCCAGGTCTGTTCATTTACTCCCGAAAGCCACATGTGTACCTCACACATGGTGTCAACTGGAGCTGGTTTTGTTATTTCTAGTCTTCCCACTGACCTGCACTCCAGTTCTGCCAGGGCCTTGTATCCCTGCACACTCTGGGACCCTAATGCCATGTACCAGCTTCATAGGCATTAAAGGCACTGAGGGTGGGGACCCACCAGAAAGAAAGGGTTGGCAAGGTACAGTGCGGGAACAGAGTGAGCCGGACACCATCTGGAGGCTAGAGGCCAAGAAGGGACATCATCAACAAGTTGGCTGCTCATGCCTGCCTGGCCCTGTGTAGACCACTCCCTCTCCAGCTTTCAAAGTCCCTGCCCAGCCCTTTGTCTTATTGGTTGTTTTCACGGTGATGACTGCCCCACTTCCCAGAGGCCTTTGGGTAAGGTAAGGACCCAGCAGCTTGTTGCTATCACAACCCATCTGGGCCCTTTATCTATTTGACCAATTCATCCTATATAAAGCACATGAAGATAATTCACACCCAGCTAGCCTCCCAGGGCAGGGTCCAGTGGGGTTGTGAACTGGTAACAGTATTCTACTTCGAGGACGCTAGTCCCAGAGGCCTTGAGAGTATTAGCAAATGAGGGCTGTCCGCACCATGTTCTGAAGGTGCCAGTTGTTCAAGGTATTTACAGCCAAGTAAGGCCATTCCGTGTAGATGCTTAAGAGCTGTGCAGAACTATGAGGGCAGGCCTCTACCACCTAGCTTCAAACACCTGGGAGCTGCCCTCAGGAGCTGGGATTGCACTAAAGTGGTCTGGTTATTTGTTGCAGAAAACTCGATACGAGACATATGTGCAGCTGCTGGTGTCCCGCCTACACTTTCCTCTGGGGGACCTGGCTCTGTGGGAAGATCAGCTTGGGAGGGAAGCTGAAGGCACTCCAGAGCTGAAGCCCAGCCTGAAGAAGTCCCACTCAAGCCCATCCCTGCACCAGGAGGAGGCCCCCACCACAGCCAAGGTGAAACGCAACATCTCAGAGCGCAGAACATACCGGAAGATCATCCCCAAGAGGAACCGAAATCAGTTGTGAAGCCATCATCAGTGTCTCACAGACGCTGACCCCTGCTCTGGGGTAGATCTGAGATGAAACCGGACGTTTCCAGGACCATGGTGAAGGACAAGGCATCGTCCCTTCTGTGATGAAGGATGGGGCTCATTTCCCCGTGTCCTCCATTCTCTGGCTCTCTAGAACTTTCTTAACCCTGTCACACTTGCTCCCTGTTTCCCATGGCAGCTCCTCCATCACCCCATCCCTGACTGTTCAAGAAGGCTGAAAAAGGACTTGGCTCCACTTGCAGTGTTTGTCCCATCCCCTAAACAGATGTGGGCTCCATCCCCTAAAACAGAGCAGTTTCATTTCCTAGGCACATGTAGGTCTGGATTTCTGGGAGATAGCTTGAGGTCTAGCCAGGACAGCCACATCACTGGAAATGGTCTGGTTTTTTTTTTTGGAATTAGGTAACCTAGCAGGGGGAGAGTACCAGGAGAGTAGGGCAGGACATCTTGGGAATCCCTACCAGCATCTTGTGACCTAAGAAGCAGGGTTATTCCCGCACTGTCCACTAGAGGACAGCCTTCGAGTAGAGGCCATGGCAGGTTAAAGACTCAGGGAGGCTCTGGGGCTTCAGGCTTCTGATCTTCTAGATGCTTTATCCACCAATCAGCCATTGCCTTCGGGCAGATGAGAAGGCTGCATGCCCAATTGTTAATCAACAGAGCAGAGCTTGTGGCCTGCGCCAGGCCACTCAGTAGGAGTGGGGGCCTCTAGAACTCTGTGGAGAACTCTTGAAACAAGGAGTCTTTGTTTCCTGAGTGCAATGAGGGTGGCTCTTCAAGTGTAGACCACTGTGGAGGGTGAGGGGTGAAAGGGTGGTGAGAGGGGGTAGAAGTGGAGTTTGGAGACCTGGGTTCTCAGCCAGACTTGGGGTACTGCCTTCTGCAGCCCCACCCCCACCCTTGATGCCCCTCAAGGCTGCATTCCCAAGGCTGTCAGGACCTCTTTCTCATTCCCAGGGCAGATCCCAGGAATTTGCTGCCTTGCCTTGGGAAATCCCCTTGTACTTGTTTTTGGCTTCTTCCCAGGTATGCCTGTTCTCCTTAGGAGGTTCTGGAGACTCAGGGACTTAGGGCTGTGCCTGTGGGGAGGAGACTGGGCTCAGGGAGCCGCCACCATTGTCTCTGTTCGACCATGTGTGCAAAGAGGTTTCTGGCCAACTGGGGGCCTCTGCTGCCCACCCTTTGACCTGACATGTCACCTCTCCTGCCTTCCTGCTGGGCCACACATCCTCCCTTCTAATAACGCTTGTAATAACTCTATGGGCTTGGAGCTCCACAAAGTGGGGCTGGTCCTTAAGGCCGTGGCAGGGGAGTCTCTGGCCCATGCACCCAATGGGTGTGCAATAAATAGAGCCTACCAAAGAAGCACGTGTGTGAGTGTGTAAGAAAAGGGGGAGCCAGGGCTACCTGCAGTGTGGCAGGCTGCATCTTCCTCTGCCCCCCACCATGTGATAATATGCTAGTGTATGTATAGAGAATGTTCTGTGTGTTCATGTGTGTACCCCAGTCACACAGCTAACACCTACTGGAACTGAGAAACATTTTTTGTCCACCCACTTTTTTTTTTTTTTTCATTTTATAGATGCTATGGGACACTTTACATGGCCAGAGCTAGGGGATTTGAAATGAACAAAATGCCCCTAACCGCATGAATTGACAGTCTTGCCCACTGTTTCCCAGCTGTCAGTATTAAGATACACTTTATCTTTCTAGAGAAGTATCTATTCCTACTCCTGCCTCACAATCAGAAATCTTTGACTCAGTAGACCTGCCAGGTGAACGTGCACACGTCTGAAAGTCCTTGGGCAACTCTATGATCTTGCAGAGGTTAACAGCCAAACCAGAGAGCAATGTCTCATTGCATTGAGAAGAAAACTTAGCATAGGTAGATATGACATGGCCCAGGACTGAGGCTTACAAGCTAAGTGGGTGTGAGGGAGTTCTTTGACCCCATTAAACACCATCCTGGTTTCTAATACCAGAATAAAAAGTAAAGGTTTGTCCACATCATGTGATACGCTTCAACACGCCTTTGCTCATGTAGAACATCCCTTTCATTTGGTGCCTTTGGAGCTGGGAGACTGTGGCTGCTGGGCTTCACCGGGTCAGTGATGCCTGGCACTCGGCCCTCAGCATGTCAACCTGGAGAGTGAGCAGAGGGTTGTGATTGTTAGGCTGCAACTCTAACATGTGGCCACTGGAGGGCAAGCACATACCACCAAGTCATTGGGCAGGTCAGGGGCTAAGGAGTCTGTTTATTAAGAAGTTAGCTTTGAACCATCACACTAACCAGAATCTTCTGTCTTCAAACTTAGAGTGGCCCAAGCCCCACCTCCCACTATTTGGGGAAACTATCCCAGGCAAAGACTTGAGGTGCCAGTGTCTTTCTGCAGACAATGAGGTTCCTCGGCTTTATGGATGCAGTCAACAGCTCCCCACAGGCTGTGCCTGATTGCCAGGAACAGTGACGACTGAGTGAGCCCCACCTGAAATCTCAGGGTTGAGCAGGTCTACTTTCCACCTATGCACTGTGTGGGCCTTCTCCTCCAGGAAGAAGGGGATAGGTGGAGCCTCCTAGTGATGAATGCAGCTCCTGGAGGAGGGTCATGTTGGATTGCAGCCCTTCTTCCATCTAAGGGAGCTCAGTCCCTGGGGTCCTGGGACTGCTGTATAACCCAGAGTGATGCCTGGTGGAGCCTCTTCCTGGTTCTTGGGTCTCTGCTCTGATAGCTTTCTGTAAAAGGACATTCATTTAGTCAGGCCACCATGGAAGATTAAAAAAAAAAAATCACTGAACTAAAGCCTGGGTGCTCTCCTTTTAGGGACTCCATGTCTTGTACAGCTAGTGATAAGGGGAAGTGTGTGAGTTGAAAGTGGGTAAAAGTTCAAAACAAAAGGACCAAGGGAAATGGGGCTGTCCGGGGGCACTGAGTCTGGATCAGAAGAGCTTGAATACAGCCTGGAAGTGTGTCTTTTGTGCAGTGCAGTATTTAAGCAGAGGCATGCTAGGCTTGGAGCTTGCTTTCAGAGGGCTGAGCCAGGTATGGTGGCTCATGCCTGTAATCCCAGCATTTAGGAGGCTGATGTAGGATTACCATGAGTTCCAGGCTAGCTCCATAGTAAGTTTCTAGGCCACATAGTAAGTTCCAGGCTAGCCTGGGCTTCATTTGTCTCAAACAAAACAAAAGATGAGATGAATGAGTAAGGCCAATGGTGACCAAACCATGGTCCTACTCTTGCAACTTTTATGTATGTCTAAATTATTTCAAAATTTAAAAAATGTAAAAGGGTAAAATAAAAAAACAATAGCTTGGAACAACAATAGTCTTGGAACAACCTGGCCTTCCCAATCCACCATAGGCCAATCTTCCTAATGGCCCATCTACATGGCTTCCTGACAACACCTTTGCCTCCAGCGGTTCTGGCTGCCAGTGTGTCTTCCATCTTACTGGCTCACCCATTTACCTGCCCTCCTCTTCTCCTCGGAAGAAAGGATGGCTCATGAATGCTGTGATTACAAGGCCAGCATGGACTTTTCTCCCTCATGGGCCCGCTTTCTACCTAGCCCATTGTCTTGCCTGGCAGATGACATCCAGTGTCACCAACAGGACAAAAAGGACATCAAACGCTTTCCTTGGACTCTGTTGCTTCCTGTAGCTGACACTGGGTTTCCTCCTGTTTGTGATGATCTTCCAAGATGTCTGGGCCTTACCAGCTGCTTCTTCCTTGCCTGGTTCCCATTTCTACCTAGCTTCCTTCCTTCCTTCCTTCCCTAACCCCAGTCCTCTCTGAAACACCCACGAAGACTGTTGATGGCCTTCAGTCATCAAATACATTGTCTTCTCCTCTAGACTCACACCAAGCAACCGTTGATCCAGTAGGCCACATAATCTGTGTGGTTTGCACTGAGGTCCTACAATCAGACTGCTTCAGATTGAATCCCAACTGCATGTGTTTTCTTTTGTTTTTTAGCTGTGTGGCCTTAGGGCAGTTACTCTACCTCTTACATTTCTGTTTGCTTCTCCACAAAACAGGGACAATAACACCACTTACCTCACAGAGGAGGCAGTGGAATTGTGCACGTAAACACCTCAGACAATGCCTGGAAGGAAAGCCTGCCAGGTTAACTATTAACACGAAGCCTCCTGCATCACACTAGGAATCCTATCTGCCTTCTCTGGGCTTTGGCTTAATCACTGTCTTCGAACAGCCATCTTGTTTGGAGCTGGGCCTCTGCACGTGACTCTACTTCTACCCAGAGGTTCCAGGTAATGAATTTTGGTTCCAACAGGCTTTAGTAACATCTGTGCCGATGTTTGGAACACAGATGAAGTATCTCTCTTATTCCTCTGGGGTTCCAGATCCTGACCCAGAAGATGGGATTACCTCAGGGTACCAGGAGGGTCCTCAGAGCTCCCATTAGTGAGACTCTAACAGAGAAGACATCTCCACCCTGGAGGATTCCATCTCAGACCCCTGAGTCTGTCTGAGCTAGCAGCCTTGGGTCCATACCTGAGTCAATCACTTAAACCAATTTCATCTTTCTTAGGAGGTGGTGTGGGTGAGGCCAATATCATCTGAACCACAAGGGCTGGTACCAGATGCTGAGGATCTCTGAGCTCTAGAAGGACAAATTAGGAGGAATGCATGATGGGACAAAGCCAGCTAGAACCAACATGGCACTCCCTACATGAAATTTCCCCTGGGTCTCCTATAGTCACTCTGAAATAAAATTACTCCCTTTCTTTATCTTTTCCCCTTCTTTGCTCTCAACTCTCTGCTCCAAGAGGAATGTAGCCTTTCAAGGGCATGAGCTAGGTAGGGCCTTGCTCCTGGGTCTGATACCCAGGGTCCTTTTTCATTTGCTTACACCATCCTTCTTTCTGTTTTTTAAACTTAGTTCTCTCCAAGGTGCCTGCACCCTCAGAAGTCCTCATTGGCTGACTCGGGACTTGGAGAAGAACTTCAGGGAGG